ACCCCTGCCCACCTCCTTTTGGAGGCTCAGAAGGCCAGGCACCCCACCCGTCCAGTTCTACCAGGCCCCTCCCTTCCCAGGCTCTGCCAGGGCCGCTCACCTTGGGGCGGAAGGAGAGGGTGGGCAGGGTGGGCTCATGCTGGGCCTTCTGGGTGCCCCAGGGGTGGAAGAGCTTAAAGCACTCGTTGCAGAAGGTGGCACGGCACTCGGTGCAGCCCTTGGTGGCCTCCAGTGCTGGGGGCTTGCACAGCTGGCACAGGATGGAGCCACCCACGCTCACACTCTGCCGGTACCGCTCCACCACGCGCTCCAGGGTCAGGTTCCGGAACAGGCCTGCCAGGCCCCGCTCCCCCAGCTCCACATCGCCCTGGCAGGCTGGGCACGGGAACATGATCACCTGGGGGTGCAGAGCACCTCGCTTCCGCCCGGGGTACGTCCCAAAGCCTGCGGAGGGGCCGGAGAAGTAGGAGGTCAAAATTACAGCGGGCTGGAGGTGGGGGAAGTCAGTTCCACTAAAAAATTAATTTTTTATTGTGTCACAGCTCAGCTGAGCCTGACTGAGAAAAAGCTCCACCCCCTGAAAGACAGACAGATGCCCCTGACCAAGGATGACCCCTCCCATCTTCCTGATGGACATCCCAGCGTCCTCACCCCCACCCCTCAGGCTCCAGCCCACCTGACTTCAGCAGCCGGTCCAAGCGTTCTGGCTTAGGGAGAGTTCTGCGGGACAGGCGGGGGCTGCGGGTGGAAGGGGTGGAGGCAGGAGACGTGGGCTCGGAGCTGGGGTCCCCACCGTGGCCTACATAGCCCTGCTGGCCCAGCACCTCGCGCGCACAGGCCTGGCACACGTTGTGGGTACAGGGCAGCACCAGCGGCTGCTTGTACATCTCTTGGCACACTGGGCACAGCAGTTCCTTCTCCATGTTCTTCATGCTCGTCTGTGGAGGGACCAGGAGGTTAGGTCAGAGCTTGGACGCGGGATAGCTTGACAGGCCCCTCCAAGGGGTCTCAGGCAGGGGCAAGACCAGCTACGTCTGGCTTTCCCCCAGTCCCAGCCCAGGCCTGGTCCCCAGCCCTCCCCAGCTCGGTCTCTTGCCTCTGTTTCTCGGAGGCAGAGCTAAAGGCCTACGCAGGAGGAGGGATGCTCGGAGATCGTACCTCCGCCAGCGCCAAGCTCCGCCCCCTGCACTCCCCCGGCCCAGCCAGATCTGCAGCCCCTGCACCTCGCCATTGCCCCCTGCTCCCCGCCCCCATC